GCCCAACACCTGCTTCAGCAGGAGGAAAGCCCTGCCCCACTAGTTCTTCATGTGGCTCAGTCCCACGTTGAGATCTCAGGGGAGCACAACCAATTTAACAGAACATGGGCCACCCATCAGTGGCCAAACTTAGGAGAGGCTGTGAAACGTACACGTGTGTGTGTGTGTGTGTGTGTGTGTGTGTGTGTGTGTGTGTGTGTGTGTGTATGTGTGTGTGTGTGGTGGGGGTGGGAGGTTCCTGTCTGTGTTTGTCGTCTGGAGAAGGCTGGGTTCACAGCCCAGGGATCTTTCTCAACATAAGAAAGGTGTCTGAAGAAGCAGGGCTGCTGAAATGACAGGAATGTGCCGCAGTGATGACTCATGCAAACTGCAACAGGCAAAAGGAGCTCTTCCTATTTAAGAGGGGCCTATAAAATACCTACTGCCTTGTTAGGTTGATGGGAAAGCGCTATCTTAAAACTCTTCTTTGCTAAACTCTGAATTTAAAAAAAGCAGAAAAAAACCCTCCAAACTTCTTGTTTAGTTAAAGTTAAAACCTATTTCCTGTGATTTTGTCCTAAACAGGAACCATAGTTGCTTACCACATTGCCTTCCTAGTCCTGACGTCAGATACTCTTTACCCTAACATCAAACCATTCATCTCAGTCTAAGGTTTTAAAAGCATATATTTATGCACACGTATCTGCACACAAATCTTTCTGTTTATATTTGCCTTCCCCAGTACATGAAGGGAAGGGACCAGAACCACACAGTGTTCACGTGCTGCCCCATCTGGTAGGCATTTACCACCATGGATGTTGGTGGCCAAATCATAAAAGAAATGATCTTAGTTTTCTTTAAGTTTGCCAGGAAGCTGTCTAGTTGCCTCCATTGCCCTGGCAGGCCTCTATGAGACGTTGGCATCACTGAAGGCCATTTCCATTTCCAGTGTTCAGGTGAGGCTCATACAGGATCCCTGATATTCTAGAGCCCTCTAGGGTACATATGTTTACAAGCCACTTGAAGGCCTTTCTGCAGCTGGACAAGGACATGTGGGTTTCTGCACTTTGCTCTGCTCTGTCTTGGGAAGAGTGTGCAGTACTTCTGCTCTAAGCCCTTGGATACATCTTGGAATTCCACATGTAGCTCTCTCCCTGGGCCTGGCCTCCAGCATCTCAGCTGCTTTCAAGGGCTCAGAAGCATTTCATTTCCTATCTGTTCCCTGACCCTCTCACATTGGCCTGGTCCGGGGAACCTCTTTCTCTTCTGAGGGTGGGGACAGTACTCACCCACTGGCTAAGAGTCCCTCCAGATATTTGTGTTGTAGGCTTGTCTTGTCTCCTGGAGACCCAAGAGCCAGAGGTCTGACTTACAAATCTGTAGTGGTTTTCTTTTGGTTCTGAGGCAGTGTCTGTTTCTGGCTGAACATGGAGGTCATGAAAGAACACACAGACATTTGGGGGAAATAATGCAGGGTTAATTTCTCAAATATGCCATCTATCTGTCTCATTTATGGAAATAGTGGACTGATTTTAAGGGAAACCAATTGGTGACAGTTATCCCAAATTTCAAAAATCTCTTTATAAAGTTTGTCAGTTTACTACAGACTCTAGAAAGCAACATGGCACTCAGGCAAGAGAAGAAGGGGTCTGCAAAAATGGGCCTGGTCTTCAGGGATGGCTTTCCTTTCTGCTGTCATAAAGTTTCCTCCAAACAGTCAAGGCTTTGATAAAATAAGTATCTGTCATGTTATTTAGGAAGGGATGACAGGCTGAGAGCCACTGAGCAAGTGATAAACTGCCCTTGACTTGGCCATCTTCCATGCTGTCTTTAGTGGGTATGGTTCTCACATTGATATGCCACGAGAGTTTCCTCTGTTGGTCCAGTGACACCATTTTAGGCAAGGAAGGCAGAATGTGTCTGTGTCCCCTAGCGATGGTATGGTATATACACCTGTCTTATCAGCCCTGCCTGCTTCTGCTGAGCTACGGGCAAATACAGTCTTCTGCTGTGTTGTTGAGTGGTCAGGCGGGGCCTGGGTAAAATCCCATGGAAAAATCTCATGCTCTATTGTGTAGTAGCTAATGCTTGCCTGGAAAATAAGCATGTTCAAGCTTTTTATAGCACATGTTCCTCTGCAGCAAGAGAACACTGCAAGTCTGTATAAGGCTTTTATATCGTCATGCTTAACCACTGTGACTTTTAGAGCTGCATGCCAGCTGGGGCAGGGTAAATTACTGAAAGCACTATGAAGATGTCATTAAACTGCCTGCTGCTGTATACCCTTCAGAAGCTAGAGAAGAAAATGTGTCTTCATATGTCATTTTTGTTTCTTTGGGGGCATGTTAACAGCCTGAGGCACTGCTTCTAAAAACAGGCCTATCCCCACTCCCTGAAAAAGTCTTAATAAAATAGTTTTTTTTTTTAAATACAATGTTAGTTACCCACCATGCATTTCTGTAGAATCTGCTTCATTATCAAGGAAGAGGTCTAATAGGCTCTTTAGCATCTAATGGAAACAATGTGAGTGCACCTGTTAGGGAAGAGAACCAAATGTCTAAATTAATTTTAAAATTACAATACACTGAAAAACTTCTGGGAAAGGGAAGAGGAAGTCAAAGCCTGGATATCTCTTGGAGAGAGCCCACACCTGCCATCCATGTCTTCTTTGTGGGAACTGACAGTTCCCTGTTGGGTTTTCTTGGGGATGGGATGAGCTTAAAATGAATGGAACCTTTAGAATGAACATGCTAAAATGCTTACATCTTAAGAAAAGTGTGTTCTCAATGATGGTCATCTCAGAGTCGAAGGGTTTCCTTCTGAGGTTTTGGAGAAAAACAATGTGACTTTTTTTATTTGACATACAGACCATCCCACAGCCTGTGTGTGTGTGTGTGTGTGTGTGTGTGTGTGTGTGTGTGTGTGTGTGTGTGTGCAGGTGTGTAAGGAGGCTGGAGTTTGGCAAGGACATGTCTTGTTCAATCACTTCTCTACCTTCCTTTCTGAGATAGGATTTCTCACTCAACCTAGAATTCACTGATTGGCTAGGCTGGCTGGCCAGTTAGTCCCATGGATCCCTTTGTCCGCCATGCTCAGATTATACCTGATATTTAGGGATCCAAAGTCAAGTCCTCATGCTTGTGTGACTGATACTGAAGTATCTCCCTGTCACCTTCATTTATAATGCTACTGAAAACATTTAAACCATAGATTGTCACTCAGATGTACACAATAACGCACTGACTGCAATCACAAAGCTTCTGAGCCCCGTGGCTGCCTGAAGTAGCAAGGTCTGGCATTGCCCGAGGCAATTGCTATTATTTCTCTGTAATACAGCTGGAGGGAAAGACTTGTCTGAGTGGATGAACAGCTTGTAGCACTCCTTAAACAGTGGTAGGAGCCTCCTTAGTGTAATTGGGGCTGGTACTTGGATGGGTAGAAGAAACAACTAGTGAATTAGAACAACATCCATTGAAAGATAAATTTAAAACATTTCACATCTCCAACTTTATTATTATGAACTATCGAAATATAAAATCCTTTGGTTAGATTTCCCCCTTCCTCTTTTTTTTCATAAGGCACACCCATAAACATCTAGTTATCTAGGTTTATCCTTTTCAGGGTAAACTGATAACTTAGAAACCCGAGTTCAGACTACAGTTTTACAAGCTTACCCCAGTAAGAACTAGCATGTCAATGACATGTTTGAAAGTATGATTTTTGCCACTTGTCATTGTCAAACTTTTTTGATTAGCCTTTGCTTTATTTTTTTCCTAGCAAGGCTAAACTGATATTCATCTTCCATCAGTTTATATCATAAGTAAATTCATAATAGTGAGCACAATGGCAGAAACAGACCTGGATTTAGACCCAATGATTTGAGTAAGCATCTTTCAAACAGAAGGACAGAAGTTCGCGGACATTCCAGAGAGTCTACCAGCTTTGGGCACTCCATATGGCAAGGACATGAACACCTGTTTGACATGACTGGGGTCTGATGGCTAGTTTATGAGTCGGTTACAGTCTTTAATTAAGCATTTCTACTAATGTGCCCAGGTAGTGACTCTTAACAGGTTTTGCAAAGTGTTTTCTAGCTGGAGTCCTACAGAACTTGCCTTAATGAGCAGCCAGGCTCCCTGGCAATCAGCAGCATCTGTCTGCACAGTGTAATTGGCGTGCTAAAGTGCTGTCCCCAGGCAATCTAGTTTACAGTGTGGTGCTATAATTGGTTTGCTCATCAGACTATTTTTTTTCCTTAGATGGGGAGAGGTAGTGTTTTGGTCTGCTCATGTGGTGCTATCACAATTTTTAAATTAATGATTTGGAGATTTAGTGAGATCTTCTATTTATCCAGGATTGAAATTCTTACTATCTCTATCAATGTTTTCAGTTAAAACTTTGTCTTCCTAAATCCTGCTAGCAATAAAGCATGGCATTTCAAATACAGTTAGGATAGAGTAAATAAATAGCAAGCATTCCGACTGACATTCAATTGATAGGTTTGGGACCATTTTAGGGCATCGAGAGGGAGAGCAAGAGTGAGTGTGAGCAAGAGTGAGATTACACACACAGCAGAGTAAGACACAGAAAGGGAGTGAGGGAAGGAGGATGTATAAGATAGACAGAAATAGAAAAGTAGTGATGAGTATAAACAGATACAAACAAAATGGAACACATAGAGATGGAAACAGACCACCATGAAAGAAACCAAATGTCTCATGAGATGGAGGAGGAGCATCCCAGCAGTGGTGCTCAAGATTCCATGTCTGTCCTTCCGTCTGTAGAGAGAATAGGTGTGGAGGTCAGAGGCTGTGGGACACCATGGTACTGACCAGGATAGGAAGCAGGCCCAGGGCATCAGTACCGTAGCAGGCAGAACTAGACCCTTGAGCAGCCGATCATCTGGGCATAGTGAGGGGACTCTATACTACTTGCTCATATGTGTTAAATGTATTTCTCAACTCTTAATGTCTTTCTTTCTTTTTCTTTTTCATTTTTCTTTTTTCTTGTTTTGGCTGCAGAAAGGTACTCAAGGAAATCTGTGTTGGAGAATTAAATCCGAATGAAACTGTTCAGGCCAATGTGGAAGCCCAGCTCCTTTCCAAGCTAAATCATCCAGCCATTGTCAAGTTCCATGCAAGCTTCGTGGAGCAGAACAATTTTTGCATTATCACAGAATACTGTGAGGTGAGACTCTTCTCTCTTAGAAATATTTGTAAAAATGTGTTGCCTGGTAACAATTTTATATAAAGAGATATCTCAAAAGTTTTGTTATCAAACAGCAAGTTGAACTCTAAAGGCCTGGTGTCTCATGTCTTGTAGCTAAGAATAATCTTCTCTAAGTAATTGACAAATGTTGTGGAATAGATTATTTGTTTAACTATGTAAAGATGTGTTGCATTTGTTTGTGTTGCAGAATAATTGTTTAACTATGTAAAGATGTGTTGCTTTTGTTTATGTTGCATTTGTTTAACTATGTAAAGATGTGTTACTGTTTCACCTTGCCTGCCTGAGGCACCTGATTGCTCTAATTGGCCTAATAAAAAGCTGAACAGCCAATAGCTAGACAGAAGAGGGATAGTTGGTGCTAGCAGGCAGGGAGAGAAGGGAGTCAGCCAGCCAGGCGCCAAACATGGAGGAAGCAGGAAAGCAAGATGGACAGTTTGTAGATGAGGTAAATGAGCCTTGGGGCAGCATGTAGATTAATAGAAATGGGTTAATTTAAGTTAAAAGCTAACTAGAAACAAGCCTAAGCTAAGGCTGAGCATTAATAGTTAATAATAAGTCTCTATGTCAAGATTAGATGCCAATTGTAGTGGGATTTCTTAAACTGCCAGCCCCCAAATTCCCATATTCTATTCCTGTAGCTAGAGTTTTCCTGCCTGGCCCACAGTCAGGACAAATCTCTCTCACCTGCCAGTCCCACAGCCGCTCAAACCCAACCAAGTAAACACAGAGACTTATATTGGTTACAAACTGTATGGCTGTGGCAGGCTTCTTGCTAACTGTTCTTGTATCTTAAATTAATCCATTTCCATAAATTTATACCTTGCCACGTGGTTTGTGGCTTACCGGCATCTTCACATACTGTTTGTCATCATGGCGGCTGGCAGTGTCTCTCTGACTCAGCCTTCCACTTCCCAGCTTTATTCTCCTCCTTGTCCCGCCTACACTTCCTGCCTAGCCAATGGCCAATCAGTGTTTTATTTATTGACTAATTAGCAACACATTTGCCATACAGAACATCCCACAGCATATTCCCCAATGGACAAACTCATTTTTAATGATTGTTTTTTCTCCCTTTGGCAAATCAGTCAGAGTGAATATTTAAGAAGGAATATCTGCAGAGGAATGCTTTTACATATATGGAGACAGATTGCCCAAACCTCCTATCATAGTATAATGAATGCTTAGATGGACATCTAGACTCTTAACGAAGGCCTGCATACAGTGGAGGTATAGCTCACATTTTGATTTCTAGTTCTATTGCTTGATATTTGAGATTTTGAATATGTCTCATTTCCCCTAGAGAAACCTTTCCTATTTATTGACTTGTGAATTATGGCTTAGTATTTGTAGTTTTCTCTGCTACTTTCAGTTCTCTTGAAGTAACAGCTTTGTGCTTTTCTGAGTCTGAAATGAGCACGAAGCTTAGAAAGATGAGTGAGGAGAAGATGGACAATACGAAGCTGTTGGTGTGGATCTTTATGTTTACAACTCAGAGGTTGTAGGTATAGGATGGGTGAGGTCAGACAGACCATAATAGAAGATGTCATGCTTAAAATTATGCCTACATGGTCTTTGAGCTAGGCTATTCAAATACTTCTTAGGAGGATTTGAAACCATAGAAAATGAAATTAGTCAGCTAATTACTTGGGTAGCCCTGGAACCCCAAGGAAATTATGTTGGGAAGAAAGAAGTCTCTTTGTGGAACAGAAGGCAAGCTTGTTTGGCTCTGAGAATTTGGACAACCAGATGGAAGTTGGGGGTGCTGTATATTTGAAAAGAGGAGAAGGAAGAGTAGAGACTGTACCCAGACCACCTGTACTGCTTCCACAGTTACTGATGCATCAGCCATTAACAAACTGGTAGTCAGATTCAATCGAATGAACTTGGAGTATTCTAAACCTTGACCTTTCTCCTTTAAATCACTCTCCTGGCTTGCTCCTTCTCTGCTTGGAGGAGAGAGAGCGGGAGAGGCAGAAATACAGACAGACAGACAGACAGACAGACAGACACACACACACACACACACACACACACACAGGTGGCGGTGATGAATACCAGTTACTTAGATATGTAACTTCTTTACCGAATGGATTGTTAAGAAAATCAGTAAGATGATGAGGCGTGTAGGATGGTAGCTCTGAAGAGCCACTCTGGAAAATGTGTTTCCGATGTAGCTATGCTACACTCTACCTGTTACTATTTAATACTTTTTCTTCTTTAGCTCCCTTAGTTGATAAACTTTTCTTTCAGGAAAACAATCAGCTATTACTACACAGGATGATTATTTTCCCCACTGCTGATCTTGGCACATTCATTTGTTTATAAAATGTTGATATATTGTCTCTGTAATTCGGGTTGTTCCTGAATTCACTATGTAGCTACAGCTGGCCTTGAACTCCTGATCCCCCTGCCTACATCTCCCAAGAAATGAGATTGTAGGTGTTGGCTACCACACCTGGGGGCACACTAAATTTTTCTAAAGATGCTTTCCATATCTTAAAACACCTTCGACTGAGGTCATCATTGCTCAGTGGAAGGTGTGGGGAAACTGAGTGGCCTGTGCCTTCTGCCATGGTAGCCTATAGTCACGCTGGCTTTTTGTCTTTCGAATTAAGGAATTAGGTATAAACAAAATTTATTGTTTAACTTTAATTAACTTAAAATGCAGTGGCCTGTGCAGCTAGTGGCTGCCATGTGTGACAGGTGTAGATGACATGCTCTAACTTTCTTTTCCCATGTTAATTTTGATATTTTTAAAAATTTACTGTAATTTTGAGCTTCCAGACAGGTTGTGAGACTACTCACATCTCCCACACCCTCTTCCCCAGACTTCCCAGTTATATTGTAGCCCACATTTACTTCATTATTTCTTTTTTCCATGTATATACACTCTACCTAGCTTTTCCCTGAACTACTTGAAAATAAACATGTTGTGGTTTGCATCTTGAACTGCTTGAACATCTCCCTGAAGCCCATGTGATCTAGAGGCTTAGTTGCTAGCCTACTTATTGGGAAGTGGTGGAAACTCTAGAAAGTGGGGCCTTAGGAAAGTGAGGACATTGGCACCATTCCTTTGAAGGTGGTTTCGGAATGCAAGCCTCCCTCACACACGTTCCTCCCCAGCTGCTAGGGTATGAGCGGCTTCTCTCATGCTTTCCCACCATAATGATCTGTCTCATCACAGTCCCCAAAGCAATAGCAGCAACGAACTACTGCCTGGAACCTGGAGTTAAAGCAGGTCTTTTCTGCTTGTGAGTTTATTTCTCACATGTTTTGTCATGGCAACAGAAAGCTAACACAAAGTTCCAGACCTAACCTTTTCCCAAATAGCTACTGTATTTTCTAAGGCCAAGGACCTTCTCTTTCATAACAACAGTTAAAGTGATAAAAACTCAGGAAATTAACACTGAAACAATGAGAGTATGTAAGCCACTGTAATCCTCAAGGGAACCACACATCTGTAGTATCAGCCCCACTTGGTAACTTGGTGGAAATACAGAATCGTGGCCCAAAGCCCAGCCATACTGAATCAGACTTTGTGGGGGTGGGGCTCAGCCATCTGTGTTTTGACAAGCTTACCAGGTGAGTCTGAAACAAGCTGAAGTTTGAGAACCACCCATCTAATTCACAATCTATATTCAAATTTGTTCCAAATATGCTCATTTGTTCCAATTATGTCCTTAGAAAGGGCATTTCTACAAAAATGGTTTTCGTTGTGCAGGATCCAATGCAGGATCATCTGCGTTAATTTTTAAATGATGGTTGGTTTCTATGGACCAAGCTGCTCTCCTGGGAGGGCATGTTGCCATGGTGATGGCTGCCAGCTGCACTGCACAGCTGCTGAGCTTCCAGGGGTCTGTGGATCCTGAGCCGTCAGGCTGCCTCTTCCCAGGCTCCTGAGAAATGATGTGTGCATGTTGCTCCCTTCTTGTTAACAGAGATATTTCTCATCTTCAGATGCAAATTCACTCTTAACTTGCTCAGGCCTGATGTTATCTTTTTCTTAATTGAGGTAAAATTATTGACATAGGAAATGGCCGGTAACTAAATCTTGACCTTATAAAAAATATTATCCCCATTGCAGTAGTTGATCTGTCTATGTCCATGTTTCCTCTTGGAAAATTTAATTTGGGACCCATCAAGTCTGTAATATATTCATGCAACCCTGATATGTCTATATCTGCTGCTCAACCCACTGGGCACCTCAGATTACGTGTGTGAAGAAGCAGGCAACCAGAGGCTGAGGAGATGACTCTGTCAGTAAAGAGCCTGCTGTGTAAGGATGGAGACCACAGTGTAGACCCCAGAACCCGTGGAATATCTGGATGTGGTGGCATGTGTCCATAACCTTAACACTGGGGGGTGGGGACAGGTGGATGCCCAGAGCTGCCCAGTCTAGCTAATCGGTGACAGACTCTGTCTCAAAACATGAGGAAGTGGTGATAGAGGACAAACACCAGGCACATACACATGTACATTCACACAGACACACATACATGTACACCCACATACACATGCACATATACACACTACATATGCACGTAATAAATACATAAACAAAGTATCCTCCAATTGGTATTGTGGTGCTTATAATACCAGCATGAAGGAAGCAAAACCAGGAAGATCACAAATCCAAGGCCAGCCTGAGCTGCAGAGCCAGGTGCTGTCTGATAGTTCCAAAGCTACCAAAGCAGCAGAACATTTGGACCACTGGTATAGCTGGAAGTTTTCCTGTGTTCCACCTGGTTCCACGGCCCTTGGTCCCAAGTAAACACACAGAGGCTTATATTAATTACAAACTGTATGGCCTATGGCTCAGGCTCATTACTAACTAGCTCTTACAACTTAACTCAACCCATTCCTATTCCTCTGTTTTGCCACGTGGCTTCACACTGTTCTCTCACATCTTGCTCCTCCTGGTGGTGGCTCACAGCTTCTGCCTGACTCCACCCTTCTTC